TAAAACGATAATTATTATTAATAATTACAAAGTTATATTGATGGCGACGACGGTTCGTCACGTGATAGCTTACTGCTTACTCATATATTCATATATTAAATTATATACATACCCAAACAATAAACGACGTATACGCACCATGTTAATGTTATTAATTCTGTTTTGAATTAACAAATTTAAATCCAGGTGGAMAATTTTACGTTACCCACTATTGTCGTTATATTATTATTTTATTTAACTACCTATCGAAAAATAACTCAGTATAGGTACCTGACGATAATTATTTGAATAAAGGGACATATTTGTATAAATATTACATATTCCTATTTGATATGGCTGCATCCGAATTGGTTYCCATACTTGAAAATTGACATCCGAATCAGTTCCCATTTCCCAACATTCCACGAAACATACATCCCAATTGGTTCCCGATATTCTAGGTAAGTGGAACACATCCGAATTGGATGCTATATAGCTGCACGTAACACTGTTTGACCGTAGAATTTATAAAAAATGTTTGTTGCAAATTTTTACCTCAATAATACATGAATACATACCTAACTATTGTACTTATAAAAAAAGAAAAATTGACGAATTGAAAAACTGTATTATTATTATTATATTATTTATATATTTTTTTTTTTATTTAAAGAAAAATTGATGAATTGAAAAAATGTATTATTATTATATTACTTATTATTTTATTTTTATTTTTTAAATGACATTCATGACAAAAGCCACAATGTTTAACCATACCTGCATAATATGTAGACAGTTCTAAGTCTGTATTAAATTAGAAGGGAAATTGAAAATGCTTTTTCCCGAGTACTAATTCGGATATACCCTTCGTAACAACCCGGGAACCAATTCGGACGTTTGAGAACCAATTCGGATACACCGTTTAATATGGCAAGTGCTATTTTTTGAGGCCTGTCGTCTGGATTTTGGGTTCTTGACAAAATATGGTGGTCTGATGCATAAGGCGTAAGACTGTTGATGACTGAGTTTGAGATAGTAAATTACTAAGTCATACAAATATATTATTTCATTTGATCTACTAAATGATTTAAAAGTGCAGAGAAATAAGCATTTCTAGCCATTGCCTATGATATAACAAATGGTGAGTTTTATAACACTWTTAAGTTCTACATTTCTCTATAGATAATTTCTAGCATTTAAAGTTGTTGTTACATATAACTTATTTAGCCCACAACCAGAACGTTCTATGGCTTAATAGTTTTGTAAACATAATAATATATTGATATTTTTACAATGTTAGGGTTGTATGCAATAATTTTCGTGTATTAGTCTGAATGAGAGCGATGAAGTCCAKCAACGGAGTAGGTATTAAAACAAGTAACAATAAATAATCATCGTAGTATTATTCTTTTAGTTACATTTAAGTGCACTAGTTACAAAGACCTGTTTAAACTATTTAATAGATGTTCAGTTACTATAATTTAAGTTAGAATTTAAGTAAATAATAAAACTAAAATAATGATTGATTTGATCATAATAAAAAGTTGGTGTTGGTRGTAAGAATAGATAATGTGTAGTATTCACAAAAAAATTAATTTTATACGCCACTGATGGCACATATAATAATTTATATTATAATATAAATAATTTGATGTGAATTGCTGTTTGTCATATCATATCTATTGACTGATATTATCAAATTAATAACGACGTTATCGTTTTGTTTTCCATAGGCAGATGTTCCAGCAAAACGGGTTCATTTTGCCGAAGATTTAACGGCGGATTAAATGTGGACGACAATAACAAAAAAATAAAATACACCTACTTCGGAAAAATTGTCACCATATCGCTGTTATACCATGCTGTACATTTATGATAAATATATTTTATTGTATTTGGTCGACGAAGATGGCGCCAAAGTCTCGCAAGATGAAAAGCGCGGAATCCGTGAAATAAGACGGATGTGTTATGTATATTATTATTATTATTATTATTGTATTATGGTGACATCGTTGTCATCTATCTATTTGATCGCGCGAAAAGCAACGAATTTCTCAAATGTCTTACATTATTATTATTATTATTATTATTATTATTATTATTATTGTTCATGAGAGATCTCTCCTCTCGTCGTTTATGACTATTTTATTTATTATATTGTAATAATATTATGTAGGTTCAAAGAGTGAAAATATAGGTACGTTAGGGTTTTACTAAGTATTCGAAACTATATTATATTTCGTAAACACACAGGACGTTGTAAATGGGCGATTTAAATGCTTGTCGTTTTGGCCACGACAACTGCACGTTTACCTATATAATAATATATGTAGGATATTGTTCACGCGTCTAAATTATTTAGTTATATTATTATATTACTTTTATATTCATACATAATAATTGAAATGTATATAAATTCTATTATACATATTATATAATATAGATACTCAAAATATGATGCGAGGTGTACCTAATAGTGTAATGCCGACTACAGATAATTATTAATTGATATCACATGTTTACCTACATATTCTAGTCGAACGATATTGTTTTTTATTTTTAAGCCACTTATTATGCAGTAATATAAAATATTATAATGTAATCACTCAGATAAATCTAAATTTAGCCCATCACAATTATTAAAACCAGTCGAGTTTCCATGATATATATATTTCATTGTTTAATTTTGGCACGTGCAAGTGTAAAAATAAGAAAACACTACGACTCATTGATGCAAATAATAGGCATTGATGCGAGGGGCTGTTTTTTTATCACACGCGGCCGAAGTCTCAAATGTGCTGTAGAAGCTGGATGGGCAATGAGGGTTGTCACAGTGTACAATAATTGTTACCTCTTATTATAATATTATGATCGCATTGTATTATATAAGATATAGATAAAGTGATTATTGAGTTTACTAATTTATTAGTAGATACTACTTAGTAGATATATATGTATAATTCATTATAAACTTATAATAGTTATAAATGATGAACAGGTGTATATTATTTTAAATAAAAAAATATAGTGATCGAGAATTACTATTTTCTATCAATATTATTTATACTTACTCAAGATGATGATGATAATA